GTTTGCCAATGAATATATAATTAAAAACATATATATATATATATATATATATACACCGATGACCCCAACCACATTTCGAGCAATTGCCTCTTAAACCATGACTAATTGAAGTGGAGATGATCAATACAATTATAGAGGAAGAAGAGAGGCAGGGAATTAATTAAGATTGCAAGATATATATGAACACCCACACACACACATAGATATAAATCCCCTAATTATATTCACCTCTATAAATATACCCACTTTTTTGTGGCAAAAGCCTATTCTAGTCTCTTATCTTATCAAATTTGAGGGTTTTAACCCTTCATCTTATATTATGACATTTTTAACCCTTCACCTTACTAGATTTGTAGGTTTTAGCATCTCACCTTATATTATGACATTTTTAGCCCCTCACCTTATACTAAGATACTTTTAACCCTTCATCTTATACTATGACACCTTTAGCCCCTCATTGATTAAAATTGAAAAAAATAATCCTCACTTTATAATATTTTATTAATTATATTAATTGACTATTAACTCTATTAGTTGACTGTTAGTTGACAAAACCTTCTTTTAGTTAACAGAGTTAATAGAATTAATTTTATAATATTTCGTTAATTCTGTTAACTGGTTATTAGTTGACTGTTAGTTGAAAAAAATCTACTTTTAACTAACAAAGTTAATAGTCAATATAAAGTGAAGGTTATTTTCTTTGATTTTAATAAGTGAAGGGTTACAAATCTACAAATCTAGTAAGGTGAGGGATTAAAAGTGTTATAATATAAGGTAATTGGTTAACACCTTCAAACTTAATAAGGTGAGGGGTTCAAAGTTTTTGCCCTTTTTTTTTTGGGGTATACGGTGCTTGTATTGGCCCTTAAGACATTTATGTTATTTATTTGTATTATTTATGAGTGATAAGTTTAAATTTTTATTAAAAAAAAATTTAAAAGGTTTTTTTTAAAGATAAAAAAAAGTGAGTAAAAAAGAAATTTATGAAAAGTAAAAATTTAAAACTTTTAAATTTTTATTATTTAAGATCCTTTTAAAATTAAAAAAATTTAAAATTATAAAATTTTTAAATATAAATTTATATTTATAAAATATAAATAATAGAAAAAAATTAAAACACTTGAAAACTAAAACAAATATGTGGTAAATGTGCTGCGCAAGAATTGCCGATTGTGGGGCGTTTGTCCCGCATATTACGGGGAGAGTAACAAGTACTCACCTGATTTTTTTTTTTGGTTACCCACCCGATATCCGGGGTTTCGCCCCAACTACTCCGAACTCGACCAGCTGTGGCGCACCAGAATGGTGGGTGAGTCTCCCAACGAAAGCTGTTGCGTACACAAGGTCTCAAACTCGAGACTTTGCTTAAGCTGGAACAAGTCGCTTGCCACTTGATCCAACCCTTCGTTGGTAGTGCTCACCTGATTTGATTTGAAGGAAACGATTCTGCCCATAAAAGAAAAAGAAAATGCCGAACAAGATTATTGATTTACTTTGTGTGGTCCTCAAAATTCAAAACAACAAAATTTTCTTTTAACAAGAAATCGGCCATCATTAGGATAAAATATATATACATTTATTTGAACCAATCCACCGCTACCTTTCTTAAGACTAAAGATTTTGGGCCGTGCTTGCTACCGCTACCTTTCTTAAGATTAAAGATTTTGGGCCGTGCTTGCTTGGAGTTGCATTTGCACTTATAGTATGAGTACATTAATTAGATTTTTAATGGGTGATTTAGTAGTTAAAATTTTAAAATTTTAAATTAAAAAT